CTGGACAAAAATCATACACCTATGGATGAGGACAGTGGGAGGGGTAAGGGCAGAGGGTGGGGTGAGAACTGGGTGGAGGAGAGCTATGGGGGGAAAAAAGAGGAACAACTGTAATAATCTGAACAATAATGATTTAATTTTTTTAAAAAAAAAGAAAAATCCATGTATTGGCTCGAATCTGAGTTGTTTGTGTCAGTTTCATGAACATGGCTTGGAAGAGCACATGTTAAGAGTCCTTTGCCACCAATTTGCAATGAGGCCTAGTTTCCTTATTGGGCTTTGGTTTTCTTCTCTGAATAAACAGGATAATATAAACCTTCTTTACCTTATTTAGCTTAATAGAGAGATTCTTTTGAAATACACTTTTTAAAAAGACTGTAGTAATTATAGCATGACTATCATCTTACATGCTACAGTATTTTTTATTTTACAGTGGCTTTTTAAAAATATATTTTTTTATTGATTTCAGAGAGGAAGGGAGAGGGAGAGAGAGATAGAAACATCGATGAGAGAAAAATCATTGATCAACTATCTTCTGCATGCGCCACACTGGGGATCAAGCCTGCAACCCGGGCATATACCCTGACCTGGAATCGAATCGTGATCTCCTGGTTCATAGGTTGACGCTCAACCACTAAGCCATGCCAGCTGGACATTACTGTAGTCTTAATTCATTCAAGTCAGCCTCCCATGTTTCATGTGAAACACGAACATTTTGCAGTATTCCCTGATAGTAAATCCTATCCAAGACTCATGGTTAACTTACCTATGAGGCAGTTTCATTTTGTAACGTCATTAACATGATTTCATTCCAGTGAATATCTTCTCTGTGTTTCATTTTAAAACATCAACAAACTTTTATTATATAAACTGTGCATGTTGTGGGTGACAGTGAATTAAAGCAAATGGTTTTCTCTCTGAAACAGTTGGTGTGTATGGCCCATATGTAGGTTAGAAACACAGAATTATAGATTATCAAGGCTAAATAGTTTATCTTGCTGATACCCCAAAGTGTGCTTAATTTCTCTAATAAATGGCCTTTTAATTGAGTATCAATGCTGAAAACAAACTCACCACTCCCAATAATAGACTAGTCTGCTTTTAGTTATAATTATTAGCAAGTTATATGTATTAAATTGAAGAATTTAATTATCTACTCAGAAGAGATATTAGGTTCCACATTAGAACTTCTTGCATTTAATTACAAGAAATCTGTTTTTCATAACATACTTATGCACATGAATTGACTTAGGACAGAATGTTTTGCCACCTTTATAAATTGATCATCCATAACAGGATTTGAAGAAAATGTATTCTGATAATTACCCAACATGATTTGTTTTGCTCCTGTTGCTTTTACATCCACCATCTTCTGCAGCTAGAGCCAAGTTCTGGGAACCCAATGGTTTTGAGTGGCCTTGTGCTGTGTTTGAGGGATAAAGATACCAGGAATAATAAGACACAGTAAGCTGGGGGAGCTACCAAAGGCAAAGTTCACTGTGATCTAATGCTGGATTTGCTCTGTGATATTTAGGTTTTGTGGCATTTTAATAACAGCTATTAGTTCTCACAAGAAAAAAATTAGAACTAGCCCCCTTTCTTCCCTTAAAACAATAGCTTTTTTAAATGTAGTTTTTAATAATGCAATGTTCCTAATGTATCTGTCTTGTTAGAAAAAAACTAGTATTTGATTTTTTTTTATTTGTCCTGATTTTTTGCTATCATCTGCAGTGTATCTCATGTTATGCAATATCCTAAATCTTATAGATTGTAATTTAGAAGTTTCTATGAAGAAGGCAAAGTGTGCCTGGCCATAGTGACTCAGTGGTTGAGCATCGACCCATGAATCAGGAGGTCACGGTTCAATTCCCGGTCGGGCGGGGCACATGCCCAGGTTGTGGGCTGGATCCCCCGTGGGGGGGCGTGTAGGAGGCAGCCAATCAATGATTTTCTTTCATCGTTGCTGTTTCTATCTCCCTCTTCCTTCCTCTCTGAAATCAATAAAAATATATTTTAAAAAGAGAAGGCAAAGTGTGACAATAAAAATGGCCTTTAAAATTATACCTGCCAATTTTCAAAGCAATTTTAGGAAGAGTAGAAAAATACTTAACAATTGAAAAAATTTATCCCAGTTAAAGCAAGAATAATTATTAAAACTTACAAACTGCATACTCCACCCAGGTAAGGGAGACTGGGTCATCTGTCTCTCTTTCAGGGAGTCCCTTGGCCAGACCTGACCTGTGTACTGGTCCCACATCTGATATGAAGTCTGCCACCCACCTAAAAACAGATAGTCAGAATCACTTTCTATCAAAAGCATGTTAAAACTCAGTATGTGTATGTGTTGATTTCAAAGCAAAAGCAGTATTTTATATTGAATTAGCCCCTTTCATCAAATGATTTCAAAGGACACATGCATTATAGTCCTCATTAAACTTTGTTAATCAAAGTTTATATTTTTTATATAAATTTAGTATAAGAAAAGGACTTACACAAAAGCCTGTATTTCTAGATGGAAAGAGGACAACACAGAAAACTATTTAAACATAGGGTTACATACTCCATTCAGACATTCTGAAAACCCTCACCCTTTCTTTGGTATCATAAAAATATGGTTTTAAGTAGAAATTTTAACCAAATTCTAATATTGGGATGGAAAAATCTAAAACAGAACCCATAGTTGCCCTACCTGGTTTGGCTCAGTAGATAGAGTGTTGCCTGCGGACCAAAAGGTCCCAGGTTCAATTCCACTTAAAGGCGTGTACCTTCGTTGTTGGCACCTCCTGGCCCGGGCCCTGGTCGGGGCTCATGCAGGAGGCAACCAGTCAATGTGTTTTTCTCACATTGATGTTTATGTCTTTCCCTCTCTCTTCCACTCTCCCTAAAAAAATTTAAAAAATTCAATGGAAATATATCCTTGGGTGAGGATTAACAAAATAAAATAGGACTGTTAGTCCTAGCTTCTCTAGAAAATGAGGTTATTCACTCCTTTGATCTAAGGTTAAGGTTTAGTTTTAAGAGAAAGTTACTATATGTGTGTCACTAAAATCAGTTAAGTGTGCAAATATGCTCTTAATTCATGACTCAAATAATCCACCTGCAAAAGCTCATTTCTTTTACAGTGTCAAGATTTACTTATTGATTTATTATTATTTGCTGAAAAATCAATAAAAATACACTATTTTTGTTAGGAGAGGAGCAGTGGAAGGAAATGAGAGGGTATGTTGATATCACAAAATTATTCTAAAGATCTAAATATCAGGACATTTATCAGGATAGTTGCATAAATTAACACAAAAGGACATAAATCCTCAGTGTGACCTTATTATTTTAATGGTTGTGAGGTCCCACCTGAGTACAGAATTTATCTTTTTCTTTTAAGTAAGAGCAAATCATTCATTTGCTTTCACAAGTTGAAGGAAGTGATTTGAAGTCTTCAGTAGTTAATGCTGACATTAATCAGTTAACAGTGACAAACTATTAACTAAACATGTATAGAATATATGACAAAATTGTACACATTTCTGTACAAATTTGTAGCTAGTATGTATTAAAATTGTTGGGAGACAAAAGTAATCTTAACTTGGAAGAATGTAAATGGAATTAACTTGTGATTTTTACGGCCAGACTTCACAAATAGTAAGAAGGAAGAGTATGGTCCTGTTCATCTGGATCCTTCGGCTCCGATACCCTCAGGAGCCGCCCCAGCACCGTCCTCAGCAGCAGCAGCCATGGGAGTGGCCAGCACTGCTGCCTTTCCCTCTGCCACGTCCATCACCTCTGCGGGGACTGCTTCCGCCTCCTGTGTGTCTGCTCCTCTTGGTGCAGGGTCCACGGCTCCCACTGCGTCAGGAGAAACGGTCAGTGCAGGGCACGCAGGTGCCGGGGTTAGGAAAGGGTTCCCAACTTGTGGGCATGTTGGATATTCTGAACTCAGAACATACTTTCTCATGGATAAAAAAGCCTTTAGGCCAAGTCACAGAAAATATTTCATACACAAAGTAAGTAAAACATTAATTTGTAAGTTCTGTAGAAAGTTCTACTACAGTAGTGATAATTGAAGAAAAATAACTTTCTCATTTTACATTTTTCAAAAACTATTCAGGAAAAGTAGATTTTAGAGTTGGTTTGGTTTTCTTTGTTTTTAATTTTGAAGAAAACTCGTGGGTATGTTCAAGGATTTAGTAGGTTAATGGCTCTTTTGTATATTTTCTGTTCAACTACAGCCTTCCCTTTTCCTGGATAGACATTATCATTAACACTACAACTCTGTAGTAACTCCGTCTTGATTTGATTAGATCTTAATGTTTAATTCATAATTAGAATGAAGATAGGAGCAGTTTTTCCTAGAGTCACCATTAGAGAAGTGCTTAGAGGGGGAGAGAATTGTCTGGGGATGGAGTAATTGTGTGAGAATTGGCCAGAAGTAGAATTGATCATGCTATTAACGTGGAAGAGTTACAGACAGAGCACATCATGGTTCTGACTCCTCCGCCTCTTGGTGTTAAACCTGTACTCTTCGGTGTCTCTCAAGAGAGAAAGGTATAGGGATCCAAGTCAGACTTATCAGACTCACCTCTGTAGGACTTTTTTTCTTTTTACACTCTACTCTTCCCTTCTCTAGCTTGGCACAAAGGCATGTGTAGTTCTGTGAAGGTCTCAGTGGTTTTGATTTACTTGTCTCCCTCTTCTTCCCCTCCTGAGAGGAAAGATGATGGCAGAATAGGTTTTAGGTCTGACAGTCCCCCTCGCAGGCCATCAGAGGGTGCCATTGCACAGAGTCAACCAGACAATTGGTCATCTTCAGTATTCCAGCTGACTTAACTTCTGCCTTTTAGGAACTATTAACTTTAGGGGAAAGTAATTTGAGATCTGCTATTTATCATATTTTCTCTTGATTCAAAGAAGTTTTAAAAAACTTCTTTGAAGTTTGAAATGTGATCCTATACAGATGATCTCATTTAAATAAATAGTGTTTATTTAAATTTCTGGTTTCTCATTCATGTTGCATATTCAGATAATACACAAAAGAACTAGATTTTTCAAAATTCCCTTCTTAAAATATGACTACACCATTTATAATCTGCATTTATATATAAATCTGAAAATGCATAGGAAAAACTGAATAAGTGTACTTACCACCCTTTTTGTTACTGATTTTTGAAAACAATTGGATCACCTGAGATAATTTTAAGTCTCTGAAACTTGAAAACACAATATGTATTGTGTAGACAGCTCTTCTCCATCCCTCCAACTACATCCTACTTTTCTGAAACAGGTGCACATTCAATTTCATTCACATAAGGACAACCTTTAGGGCTAGGGTGAGAGGAGAATCACAAGTAAACCAATCTAAGTGTAATACAAATTTTGTCCTTCTTTATATAATTATAATAGTCAGATTCACCTCAATGTGTCTTTCTTGGTTTTAAAAAGAACCATAATAACAAAAGTAGGATTTACAGTTGTTCGTATGGAAAATAATACAATAATTAATTAATAATAATACAAGAATAAACTTTTTCACATATTCCACACTGTAAACCTACTTAGGCCCGACCCTGTATATTAGTTAGATAGCTTACCTAATGTGAAACCATCATTGTCAGGAACAGGAAAAGAAGACTTGTGATCCAGGCCTGGTGATCTTTCCACTTTAATCACAGAAGCTTCCTGTGAACATTCAAAACTTTTTCCAGTCTTCCTCAGTACTTCCAGTAGCTAAAGGAAGGTGTGTGCAGAAAGTAAACTGTACAGATTTGGGAAAACAAATAACTGGAGAAAGGAGGATTACCATTCTAGTGAAATAATATCTTCATTTGTAAAATTCTTTCCTTTCTGCGCATGTCCTCAATATCTTCTATAATAATAAAAGTGTAATATGCTAATTAGACGACAGCTGGACGTCATTCTGGACGTCCTTCCGAGCGAAGCTGCAGCGGGGGGGTGAGGCAGAGGCGGTTGGGGTGATTAGGCAGGCAGGCGAGCAGTTAGGAGTGATCAGGCAAGCAGACGAGTGGTTAGGGGCAATCAGGCAGGCAGAGTGGTTAGGGGTGATTGGGCAGGCAGGCAGAGTGGTTAGGGTCAATCAGGCAGGCAGGCAGAGTGGTTAGGGGTGATCAAGCAGGCAGGCAGAGTGGTTAGGGGTGATCGAGCAGGCAGGCAGAGTGGTTAGGGGTGATCGGGCAGACAGGCAGAGTGGTTAGGGGCAATCAGGCAGGCAGGCAGAGTGGTTAGGGGCAATCATGCAGGCAGGCAACATGGTTAGGGGCAATCAGGCAGGCAGGCAGGCAAGCAAGCGGTTAGGAGCCAGTGTTCCTGAATTGCGAGAGGGATGTCCGACTGCCGGTTTAGGCCCGTGGGAATCCCTGCGGGATCGGGCCTAAACTGGCAGTCAGACATCCCCCTAGGGGTCCCGGATTGCAAGAGGGTGCAGGCCAGGCTGAGAGACACCCTCCCCACCCTACCCCTCGTGCACAAATTTCGTGCACCAGGCTTCTAGTGTTAAATAAAATGTAAGAATTTCATGGTGGGAAACAATTTTCAAAAAACGTTTGGCAAGTTATACAAGCAAATATATTGCAGTTCATGAGGTTGGACAATAGATGGCACTTAACTTTTTCTAACTCCATTTGGAATAATTAAGGGATTTTAGTTTGATTTTTAAGCTATTTAGTAAAGTGTGTCTTCTCACTTTCTCTTCATCTGAATGAAAATGAAAGGGTATCATTAGGCAGTTGGTGCTGCTTTCCCATTTTATAAATGAGGAAATTGAGGCTTAGAGAGAGTAACTTGCCTGAGGAGACAGTAACAAAAGTAGAATATGTCAGTTCTCTTTCTTTTATTATTCTTTTTGTTTTTGCCCAGCTAATGTAATTAGTTGACAGTGGGGGGAAATGAGTACACATATGTATTACCCCTGATATAAATATAATTTTTTTATACATGCCTTTTATCCAGCAGTAAGCAACAAAATCTATAAAAGCTACCATTACTTTAGGATCTGATCATTGCATTTTTTTGCAATATATTCTGTAGAAATAACTCTTAAAAGAAAAGGAGTCCATTTCCACAAAAATTTGCTATATATATTAGTAAAAGAACTGAGATAATTAGATAAACTAGTTTGTTGGTATTAAAATCTCTCAAAATTGTAGCAATTCTCTATTCGTGGGAAAAAAGTATACTAACAAATCAATAAGAAAAAAGGTAGGACACAAAAGTATTTGTAATAATGATATTAATTATGCATAAGAACAAAAGAGTTCATAAAACAGATGAATGGTTGCCAGGGGTTAGGAGTAGTGGGGGCAGAGGGATGAATATGACTAAAGGGTAGCATGAGGGACATCTTTATGGTGATGGAATAGTTCTTTGTCTTCATTGCCAAATCTACACATGTAATCTATAGATATAAAAGCCTAAGTGTCCATCTGACCATCCGACTGGTAACTATGATGCGCACTGACCACCAGGGGCTGCCACGATGCGCACTGGCCATTTAAAAATAAACAGCACCACGGACCTGGCGCCGACAAACCAACACTCATCTTCCCCCAAGTGGGACACAGGCCCCACCACCACCCCGGAGCAACACCCCACCAAATCACAGCCAACACTGTCAAGACCCCATGGCACAAAATTCGGCCCACAGCCCAGCCCAGCCCAGAAATGGTCGCTGTGGGTGCCGGGTAATGACATCATGTAACAACGCCCGGCTTCCTCTCCCTAGCAACTAACCTTGCAGTTTCTTCAGCCCAGGAACCTGACTTGCTTTATAGCCAGGTGCAAACATTTTACAGTTTAACCAAATGTTTGTTAAGCATTTTCCCGTGCCTCATCTCATTTGATCCTCACAGAAGTCCTGGAGTAGGTAGATACGAGACATGGTAGAACCCTATTTTCTTTTCATTAGCCGGAAAACAGAGATTTAGAAAGTTTAGAAACTTGACCCAACTGAAAAGAAGTAAGAAATGGTGGACGTTGAAAATGACTTCAAGTTTTCTCACTGTGCAGAATATAGTCAAACACTGCTACAGTTAAATATTTTACCCTTTGTTCTCCCTGTGTGATCTACAATAATAATCTGCTTCATGTTAATATTTACTGCTGTGTGCTGACAATTACCTGAAAGAGAAACTGGGGTGCTTCACTGGGCTGGAAAAAGTTTAGCTAAATCAGAAAGCAGGTCTAATTAAGCAAGTTCATCTATATATATAAAAGGCTAAGTTGACTCATGCATGCACAATACATATAAAGCTCTCGCTGGCACCAATCGCACGTATGTGTTTTGATCTGTGATTGTCGATCGTGAATTTGGTTGACACTTTTATTATAGAGAAAGGGCAAATAACAATATTAAAATATTTCTTCTAATTAATTTCCTTTCAATGCACGAATCCGTGCACCGGGTCACTAGTAAAGTGATATAGATCTATACCCAGGCATTATACCAATGTCAGCCTCCTGGTTTTGATGTCATAATTATATAAAATGTAATCATTTCCAGAAACTGGGTGCAGAATACACAGGCTCTCTCTACATTGTCTTTATAACTTCCTATAAATTTATAAGTATTTCTAAAAAACAGTTTTTTTTAAAGTTGGTGAAGTCCTATAAAATAGTTGGCATACCAAAGTTAAAGGGATGCTCTGCGGTGCTCAGTTTTATGTTGTGATTTTTGTCTCATTGTTTGTTTTTATTTTTTTCCATGTTTTAAGTTTTTATTTTTTTCATGTTAAAGTTAATTGAATATACAATTATTTTAAGTGCCTATGTATTTTCTTCATAAGTTATAGAACCAAAAGTACTATAATTTTGCCATGGATTTTCTACCAACTAAATATTTCTTTGCTCTTTTAGTATGTACCCAGAGTTGTGACATCTGCACAACAGAAAGCTGGAAGAACAATTACAGCCCGGATCACAGGGAGATCTGATTTTGCTTCAAAAAGCAGAATTAGTAGCAGTTTATCTATAATGGGAGTTTCTCCTCCCATGAGTTCAGTTGTTGTGGAAAAACATCATCCAGTCACAGTGGTGAGTGCACATTTTGACCTTTTGTCAAAATCTATGTCCTGAAATTTATAGACCAATAAACACTTAAATGACATGCTGAGGAGAAGATCAACATTCATGATGACTGGTTCTTATTCTGCCTTTTACTATTTTGTCTTTCTATGCTTATTACACATGTGTCTGAATCTGCCTTTCCTCTTTTAAGAAATTAATTTCAGAAACATTATTTCTTCTCAACAGTGTAAAAATTATCAAATACAAAAAGAAACACAGTGTGTCAGTGGCCAGAAGGATAAAATATAGAAATGATTTCTCATTCATTTAAAAAAGAGGCAAAAACTGTTAGCTTATTAACTAGCTGTTCATGTAACAGGTTTTTATTACAAGAAATACTTCCCTACTTTTATAATTTTTTTAAATTTTTGCTCCTTATTTTAAATTCTTCTTCCCCTTGTGCTCGCTTCGGCAGCACATATAGTAAAATTGGAATGATACAGAGAAGATTAGCATGGCTCCGGCACAAATGACAGGCAAATTCATGAAGCATTCCATATTTTTAAGACTATCAGCTGGTTTCTCAACAGAAATTTGCAGCCCAGAAGGGACTGGCATGAAATATTAAAAGTGATTAAAAGGAAGGACCTACAACAAAGACTGCTCTATCCAGCAAAGCTATCATTTAGAATCGAAGGACAGATAAAGAGCTTCCCAGACAATAAAAAGCTAGAGTTCATCACCACCAAACCAGTATTATGAGAAATGTTAAAGGGTCTTTTTTTAAGAAGAGAAAAAAAAAGGATTAAAAAATGAATAATAAAATGGCAATCACTATATACCTATCAATAATCACTTTAAATGCAAATGAATGACATGCTCCAATCAAAAGACACATGGTAGCTGAATGGATAACAAAACAAGACCTTTACATATGCAGTCTAAGAGACTCACTTCAGATGAAAGAAAAGTTTAGCTAAATCAGAAAGCAGGTCTAATTAAGCAAGTTCATCTATATATATAAAAGGCTAAGTTGACTCATGCATGCACAATACATATAAAGCTCTCGCTGGCACCAATCGCACGTATGTGTTTTGATCTGTGATTGTCGATCGTGAATTTGGTTGACACTTTTATTATAGAGAAAGGGCAAATAACAATATTAAAATATTTCTTCTAATTAATTTCCTTTCAATGCACGAATCCGTGCACCGGGTCACTAGTAAAGTGATATAGATCTATACCCAGGCATTATACCAATGTCAGCCTCCTGGTTTTGATGTCATAATTATATAAAATGTAATCATTTCCAGAAACTGGGTGCAGAATACACAGGCTCTCTCTACATTGTCTTTATAACTTCCTATAAATTTATAAGTATTTCTAAAAAACAGTTTTTTTTAAAGTTGGTGAAGTCCTATAAAATAGTTGGCATACCAAAGTTAAAGGGATGCTCTGCGGTGCTCAGTTTTATGTTGTGATTTTTGTCTCATTGTTTGTTTTTATTTTTTTCCATGTTTTAAGTTTTTATTTTTTTCATGTTAAAGTTAATTGAATATACAATTATTTTAAGTGCCTATGTATTTTCTTCATAAGTTATAGAACCAAAAGTACTATAATTTTGCCATGGATTTTCTACCAACTAAATATTTCTTTGCTCTTTTAGTATGTACCCAGAGTTGTGACATCTGCACAACAGAAAGCTGGAAGAACAATTACAGCCCGGATCACAGGGAGATCTGATTTTGCTTCAAAAAGCAGAATTAGTAGCAGTTTATCTATAATGGGAGTTTCTCCTCCCATGAGTTCAGTTGTTGTGGAAAAACATCATCCAGTCACAGTGGTGAGTGCACATTTTGACCTTTTGTCAAAATCTATGTCCTGAAATTTATAGACCAATAAACACTTAAATGACATGCTGAGGAGAAGATCAACATTCATGATGACTGGTTCTTATTCTGCCTTTTACTATTTTGTCTTTCTATGCTTATTACACATGTGTCTGAATCTGCCTTTCCTCTTTTAAGAAATTAATTTCAGAAACATTATTTCTTCTCAACAGTGTAAAAATTATCAAATACAAAAAGAAACACAGTGTGTCAGTGGCCAGAAGGATAAAATATAGAAATGATTTCTCATTCATTTAAAAAAGAGGCAAAAACTGTTAGCTTATTAACTAGCTGTTCATGTAACAGGTTTTTATTACAAGAAATACTTCCCTACTTTTATAATTTTTTTAAATTTTTGCTCCTTATTTTAAATTCTTCTTCCCCTTGTGCTCGCTTCGGCAGCACATATACTAAAATTGGAATGGTACAGAGAAGATTAGCATGGCTCCTGCGCAAGGATGACACACAAATTCATGAAGCGTTCCATATTTTAAATAAATAAATAAATAAATAAATAAATAAATAAAATTCTTCTTCCCCTTTTTCAATACAATTCTCATCATATTTCTAGTTTGGAAAAAAGTTGGTACCTTCATGGAATTTAAGCAAAAAAAAAACACAACAAAACAAGTTAGTGCCCCAATTATGCTACGTATTGCCTTTGTGATCATATATAAAACAAGGAAAATAGTTGAACCTTCTTTTTCTCTTGTGTAAAATGGGAGTCAAAGAGTACTTAGCTCTTATGGTTTATTGTCAGAATTCAGGATTAAATGAGATAATGTTGTAGAAAGTCACTTTGTAAACTGTAAAACCAAAAGCAAATAAAAATTGCTAGAAAAGGATACAGGAGCCCTATCTGGTTTGGCTCAATGGATAGAGCCTTGGCCTGCAGACTGAAGGGTCCCGGGTTTGATTCCAGTCAAGGGCACATGCCCGGGTTGCAGGCTCAATCCCCCGTAGGGGGTGTGCAGGAGGCAGCCAATCAATGATTCTCTCTCATCATTGCTGTTTCAATCTCTCTCTCCCTCCCCCTCTCTGAAATCAATAAAAATATATATATATTTTTAAAAAGAATACAGGAATACCTCTGCGTTATTTCTTGTACTCAAGAATTACCTCAAAAAGTTTAATTTTTAAAAGTAACAAGAACAAAAAAAAAAAAAAGTAATAAGAACATATTCCCAAAGAGAAACAGGATTGATTTTCAAAGAGAATTCTCTCACCTTGACCAGTATGCTCAGTGGTTAGAGCATTGGCCCAAGGCCTGAAAGGTCTCAGGTTCGATTCCGGGTCAAGGGCACGTACCTGGTTGCAGGTTCAATCGCCAGCCCTGGTTGGGGCATGTACAGGAGGCAACCAATCAATGTGTCTCTCACATCGATGTTTCTCTCTCTCTCCCCTTCCCTTCCACTCTCTCTAAAAATCAATGGAGAAAAATAACAGCAATAAAAAACACAAAATAATTTTTTTTAAAAAGGTGAAGGCTTTAAAGAGACTACACATGTTTATTTTTAATTTAGCCTTTGTTTTTAGATTAACAATAGAAATTCATATTTTACAGAAAAATAAGGAACTAAAGACTTTTAACCCGTTTCTGAGTTTATCTCACAAGCTGCCCTTTGCATGTGCAGTGCTTCTCCAGTAATTGGCCATGAATTAGAAAGCCACAACTGCTCCCATTGTTACCTGACTTGGATATGTGACAGACATGATGGCGAGCCTCTCTACAATTTTTCATTTTTCCCAAGAATCAAGATCCAGAACTACCAGAAAGTTATTACTAATAAACCAGTAATCAGGTCTCTGACACTTTGGCCCCATCTGCTGGTTAATTGCTTGCTTCTGGTGCTACTTTATTCTCTACTGGATTTTGTAGATCATGATACCCATGGTAATGTGAATCTATTTCTACAGTTCCTCTTGCCAATCCCCCCCAAAGAAAAATACCTCTTTTGACAGGGTCAGATTAGGTGGTTAGCAACTAAAATTTCATAGTAGTGGCAAGAATATCTCCCATTTGTTATGATTACCCAGTTAATTTATATACAAAGAAACATATAGTATAAAAATATTTAAGGAGGTTATTTTTCCATTTCCTTAAAGAGGAGCTCTTATTCTTAAAGCAGAATCTAAAATGAAGACCTGCATATCTGTATCATAGAGCTTTTGAAATGCATAGTGAATGTTTTGATCAAATATATATAATTTTACTTCAAGTATTTTAGAGATGGCTTTTCTAAGTGGGAGACCCTAATCAGAACCTACATGTGCTAGTCAGTGACATGAACTGAGAACTCATCTGCATAACAAATCCCACTGTGGCCTACTGAGAAGCTGTATTGGGTATAATACAGGAAAGCCTTACATGTGTACATATTACACAGATGTATACATGTAATGTGAACTTATGTACATAATACGAACTTGAACATCTGCATGTATAGATGAAGGCAGATGTGTCCTGACTTTAATGCATCAGTGCTCATGTCTAAGATGTTCCTCTGAGCTCGGAGGCAGTGTGCATGTCCTCCCCTCAACATGTGTCCCTAGTCTCTACTTATTTCTTTCTTTAGAAAGTTGTGGTCCATGTGAAGGGAGCACCAGGCCTCTGAGAAGTCCTCCTCATGTGTCACCATAAAAGGTTTAGTCAGTTCCCAGGTGAAATATGACAGACCTGCTTTATGCTGGTTTGAAGCAAGGACCAGACTGGATTCCTTACATGTGCCCCAGGACTGGACTCCACATATCCCAGTGGAGGGCTTGGGGGGTAGGACCCTTCTTCCAGACACCACAAAGTCCCTTTCTGCAGTTCGCCTCTGTAAGCATAAGATTCCATCCAGTTGAGACCTCCTTGAGAAATGAATGCTCCCATGGCTCACTCTGTGCTCCTCTCGCATAAATTACGGGTATTGAGCACATCAGTCTAATTGGCTGTCGGTTTCTTATGGAAAAGGACCACAACTTGTTGTAACCACTACTTCAATTCATTGCCTGACACTTAACAAATGTTGGGTTAAATTATAAATGATAAAATGATATTTAATATGTGTAATTTTATAGGATTATTTAAAAAGATTTTTATCTTTTCAGCAAACCATTCCTCAAGCTGCTGCAACAAAATACCCCCGGACTATTCATCCTGAAAGTACTACCTCAGCTTCCAGATCTCTCGGAACCAGATCAACTCACACCCAGTCTCTCACAAGCGTTCATTCCATCAAAGTGGTTGACTGAAATGTATACGTTCATATTAAGATCTTTTAAGTGCTCTGGTTTTACCAAGGATTAGAAGTCTTTAGTTTCAAATTTTTCCATATTTTTAGAACATCATGGATACATCATGTTCACCTTTTCAGAATTATAAGAGACTTTTTCAAGCCACACCATCCTTTGTAAAATAATATGTAGGATTATTTTAATGTTATTTTTTTAATTTAAGCAATTAAGTAAAACTTTTTTAAATTAAAAATCTGGACTGTATTTTTTAATAGGCTCAGCCTGTGGCTGATTATAGCATCAAAGTATATAAATCCTGTTTTTTCTACATTATTCCACAAAGCTGAATCATTTCCAAGGTTCCTAAGTAAACTTCTAAGAGAAGTTTATTTTAAAAATTATTAAAACTAATAGAAACTAAGGTATTTTTAAGTGAAAAAGATAAAGACCAAGAGTAGTGATATTTTTATCACAGAGTTTTTTGTGACTGTAATGTATTTGTCTTCATTTTCTAGTAGTCCAGCAATTAAAGAAAGGGGGAAATGGCAACACCTATGAATAATTTTTGATGTTAAAAGGAAAAAAATTTACCAGCACAAAAACACAGTTACAGAAACATCAAAAGAAAATTTTCTATTAGAATGATCCTATTTCTGATATTCTTCCTTGCCTCTTTGGAAACCTCAGTTTGGAATCCATATTGTTCTCTCTAAACATCCAGTGTCCTGGAGTGGTGTAGCCCTGGGCAACTCGGCAAATCTTCCGAGCCTGAGTAGAGACTTTTCAATGCTGGCCAATAGGAAGAAACCATCTGGGCAAAACTGACCAAGCAGTACAGAACCAGGCTTCTAATGGTTCATTGCTGGCTGCCTGGGTTAAAGTACTTATGGGTGCATAAAACATGAGTAGATTCTGAAGTATCTGTCTAGGGCTTCAATTTCCATATTGTTAACAGGAGTGGGTAGATTTAATACTCTGAAGCCTCTTCCATTTTGAACATGACCTAGTTCTATGCTCTAATTGTGTTGCAGGAAACAGTTTTTCTTATGTCCTTACATTGTTAACGACATCAGATATCCCATTTTCTAAAAGGGCAAATCAGGGCTTTTCTGAATTATTTGAACTATCTGGCCATGTCTTAAAGAGTATTAGATCCATCTTATGCCAAACTTGTTCTGGGTTCTGGCCCAGCTACTACTGTGGCAAACAGCTCATGGGTTACAACAAACACAAACCAACAGCACCTCATCTGCTGCCTATACAGAGGGCAATCTCCTTACCCCCTTCCTCTCCCCGAGGGCTTCCATCCCTCCCAGTCCAGTCATGAGGGACAGACAGGCTCCATTTGCAGTCCACTCATGCAGCCCTGAATTAACACCCATTGTGGTATACAGATCAAGTCTTCCTTTCTCCCCGCTATGCATAGCCATCCCATCTCTCATCTCTTGGAAGAGTACCCTCGAGGTCAAATAAGTTGTGCTTGGTACCAAGTGGTGGCCAATATGGTAATTGATCCTGTTCTAGGCTCTCCCTCCGTCGCCATATCACCCCTTTTCCTTCACTCCTGCTCCCTTGAGTTTGCATTCCTGAAAGAAGCAGTGGCATGTAAACGGGCTTCAGGCTCCGCTTTTTGAAGAACCTCAATTACAATTAGGAGCAGTTTTCAGTGTGCAAGCCATAATCATGTGGACAAACTGAAGTCAATATTATGAATACTGTAATATCATAAATCTTTTTAAACTAAGTTCTGGAAGCTATATGGTATAAAGCATCAAGTAATTAGTGTTAGCCTAAGTTAACGTAAATTCAACAATTAAAACACTTTATATTATTATAAAGTATGTATTCATATTTTTCTATAAAGAGGTTGCCCAGATTTGGGGGGGGGGGGGACGGGGACGGGAAGAGGAGTAGCAAGGTCAGTAGAAACCGGCCAGACTGAAGAACAGATGGAGACAAGACTTTTCACTGAACACCTTTGTTAAAACTTGGGAATCATGTGAACATATTAACTGTTCTAAACATAACATTAAGTGGGCCAAAGATGTAGAACAATAAATTCATGATAGAATAACTGGATTGATATTATTTCTGGCCTTACAGACCTAGAGTCAGAATTTGAGAATGGAGAGACTTAAATTATAATGAATAGGTGCATATAAAGTGACATAAATTGGCACTTGATTTCATGTTTAATAACTTTCTCAGATTACAAAAATAATACATGTTCACTGTGGAAAAAATTGGAAAGTACCAAGAAGTACAAAGAAAATAAAGTCACCTATAATTAAATCACCAAGAGATAAAAAAATATATATATTGGTATATATACTTCTGGCCTTTCCATACATACTACAATATGTGTTATTTAAAGCTAACAGTGACTATAATTTCCGAAGCCAGTTTCACTCACAAGAGAAATAATAGTTAACGAGGTCAATACTATGGGCATGAGGCTACAGGCATTCTCCCTTCATCCTCACCAAACTGCTATGGCAGGTATTTCTTCCATTTTTATAGAGGAAACTGGAGATTTGGAAATTTGAATATTAGAATGCCCAAAGTTTCATAATTAAAAAGTGGCACAATCACTACTCAAAACCACGTGTATCTTAAAATCCCCGGTTTTCCTATATGCCATGCTGCTGCTCCCACCATCATATTTTTCTAAAACATGAGGGTACAAAATCATCCTAGATTATGCTATCACATATGTTACATCAAATGACAGAAATGGGAAAATCATACAACTTGCCTTAAGCAAAAGCCAAAGTGTTTTTTGACTTTTCAGTTCAGTGGTTGGGAAGTAGAATACCACTTTTTCATCTGTTAGGGATCTATTTCCACTATCCTCATAGCTGAAAATCAATCCTGCTAGCGGGACTTCATGGCATTAAAGAGCTGAACTTCAAAGGACTGGATGCTGAGTGGAAAATCACTTACATACAATTTCTCTAGGCATTTATGAAACTACATTTCTTGGGCTTTAAGTTAGTTTCACTTTTGAATTGCTGGATCTTTTCTGGAAAAAAATAGCATGACATTTATTATTAACGGCTAACATTTATTAAGCACTTACTATGTGCCAGGCACTATTACACACTTAATCCCACAACAGCCCTTCGCCAGATGCCTTTTTTCCTAGTTAATAAATGAGAACACTGGCACAGCGAGGTTACAGAACGTCTCAAGGTCACACAGCTTGTTAGCATTGGCGTGCAGACATGAAGTTCAGAGCCCATGCCCTGCATCCCTTCAGAACATGCCTCTAGTCCAGCCGTGGGCAAACTACGGCCCGCGGGCCGGATCCAGCCCGTTTGAAATGAATAAAACTAAAAAAAAAAAAAAGACCGTACCCTTTTATGTAATGATGTTTACTTTGAATTTATATTAGTTCACACAAACACTCCATCCATGCTTTTGTTCCGGCCCTCCGGTCCAGTTTAAGAACCCATTGTGGCCCTCGAGTCAAAAAGTTTGCCCACCCCTGCTCTAGTCACTCCCTGGGAGTTCTTAAGGATACACTTCCCCAGTGCTATGAGGACAATGTCATGGAAAGTAGGCATCGTCCAGGCACTATTCCTTATACTTGAAACTCAATATTGGATCAGGTGTCTGATTTGTGGAAGTATGGTCTCAGCTTCATGAAAAAAAAATGGCAGATGTTGCTATATTTTGCATGAATGGTTATGATTACATGTAAGTTATAACACCATCTAATTTATTGATAAGTTTTCAAAGCATCTTCCCTAACAAGATAATCTTTGGCAGAGTAATTTTTAGCACTAACCTCAGCTGGCAAAGCAACAGGCTGCCTGCTCTTTTCTTTCAACCTGGAGATGACATTTTCAAATGCACTAACTTGCCGTATCCCAACAGGGGCCAAGTAGCATCTGGAGCGAGACAATTCTTGGTTGTGGAGAACTATCCTTATGACCTAGTTCAGCGTTCCTGTCCCCCTGTC